TTCATGTATATTTCAAACTCAGAACCAGATTTCAACCACATGGGGAAAGTAGGTAACAATATAGATTGCTATTAAACTCTGATTATAAGAAAGACATCAAAATAAAAGCATATGAGGCAGATACTGTTAAGATATATTATGTTGTATAAAGCATAATCTATTTAATAACTATTTCCAAAACAAGATATAGATCAAAAGTAGTTTCAAAATGTCAATTAACATGATAAATATCACATTCACAAAACTTCACAAGTAGAGTTGTATTGATTATAGCATGTCTCTTTCCTGAGCATCTACTGAAACACTACTCCATATTCTTGCTTGGCAACTCTACCCATTGGTTCATTGGCAAAGAAAAAGGGAAAATCATAGTCTTAAAAGTTGGTTCTTGATTTGCAATTTCTGGTGTATATTATTTATTTATTATGCGATTGTTATTTACTTATTATGCTGTTTACATTTCATTATGTCATTGATTATACCCCCCTCCACCACACACACACAGACACGCATACATCTCTCTGGAAAGAAGCACAGGGAAGAAGAGAAAGGAAAAGAATAAAGAAATGAGAGTGAAAAGCACTAAAAAGGGAAATGAAGAAAGAAGAGAGTAAGGAAGGAAAAGGATAGGAAAAAGAGAAAGAAAAAAAAAGAAGTATGATAGATGAGCAAAAGTGAAGAGTTAATTCCATTAATGCTAAAGGTAAAAACCAGGACCTAGGTTAAAGTTACAGGAAGAAAACAATGACTCCATATGAGAATTTGTTAACAATTAGAGATTTTCAAACAGAAATGGACAGCCTTATGAAGTAGTGTACTCTTTAGAGCAACTGTTGAAGCAAGAAGTGGATAATTGGCTAACAAGAATATGTTGAGGAATTTTCTGCATTGCTGAAATAATATACTAAATGACTTACAAGGTCTGTCCTAGTACTAAGATTCTACTATTTAACATTCATTGTGAAGATTTCCATTGTCACAAATACATGAGTGTAGAAGTGTGCTCTTGCTCTCCCCCATCTCTCTCTTCTTCACCTAAACACACACACACACGTGCACACACACACACACACACACACACACACAATTAAATCTTAATTAGGACCAAAGTAATTACCTAGAATAATTTACAGTTCTTTCAGGTATTTCCATGTAAGCATCAGAAAATAACACTCATCCTAATGTGAATAAAATCTCCTTTGTTCACTAACTCCATGATGTACTTTTCTTGTTTTGCCATGTAGTTCTTGGTAAACTATTTGAGACTCAGAAAATGTAGTAATCAAAAAGGGTTGTATTAAAGCCATTTTCAAAAATGTGGTAATCTATTCAACAATCATTTATTTTGAAGGTCAAAGCTAAGATTTTGAAGGCTTAAGAAAGGATGTATATCAGAAATACAATTCTACTGAAAACTATACTGAATGCACAATTCTTTACTCAGGAAACATTGCTTGAGCCTTCAAGTCTTTCAGTTAGTCTCTGATCTGACAAACTCCAGAAGATATTATTTCCCTGACTATTTATTTCTTTCTCTGACTTTTTAGAATCAGAAGTTAAAATCAATAGTTTCCCTCTGTGTTCTAAAATTAGTTTTTCTCATGTGGAGGAATAAGTGTATTTTCCCCTTTATGTTTGTTGGTACTACAGTGTTGTCACAATATGCCAAATTCAGATGTTATATAAATTCAGGTTATTAAGAAAACAAATTTGTCAAATATATTCAAAACAAATTCTTGAGGTTTCATGTATTGATGCCATATTTTAAAATAAAATTCCATATGGTTCTAGCCTTCTCACAAAATAGAAGATGCAGCATTTGGGATGTATATTGACCTATAAATTATTTCCCACATCCTCTGCTTTAATTCATTAACTGTTTAAAATGTGTGCCTAGTGTATATTGCACAGCTCTTTTCAAAAACAATAGGTTATTACATAGTGTGGTTCAGAACATCCAAATCATGTAAAGCACCATTCTCTGTAAAATAACAAAATAAAAAATGTGGGCATAAAGTATGAGAACTCTAACAGAACCATATAGGAAATTTCAACACTAGAGGAATTGTCTGATAAAGTAGAAACATAATTGAATATTTTTCCATGAAAATAATAATTATGGAGACTATATGAAAATATGGAATAAGATTTCAAATACATGGTTATGCAACTATGTAAAATATAGACATTTACATATAAAGAGGATAAGCAGAAGTGAAGAGATTTTATAGTTTATATGGTTCTTGGACACTGAAGTCCATGTATAAGTGAAGAATTTATAACTAGGTTTCTTAGAAAATAGTATATTCATTAGTACTTCCCAGAGTAGTTAAAGAATAGATATTCTTTATTTTATAGAAGTATAGGAGAGGACTCATAAAATTTAGGTGATGTACATGTACTGCTAATTAACCAGTGGGGAATTGGAAATAGAAAAGATAATACCTGTATGTTAATCAATAATTATTCTAATATGCTGCCATAATTGAATTTATTATCAGTTTTGCAAGAATTATATCATTTGACCTTGAGTCCTAAATAATTATGTGGCAAAATGTAGTACACTGGTAATATTATTGCCTTATGACATTGCACATTAAACTGAAAATTACCCATAAGATTGTATACATGAAAAGGACATTTTTAAAAATTATAATGAATTGTTATATAGAAGTCAACGTCTAATTTATATGATTCATCTTAAAGTTATAATTTTTCCATAAAACTCCATTAATACACTATTATACTACAGTTCAAGAGCATTAATGACATTTATTAATGGTAGTTTATTAGTACTAATATGACTCAATTTAAATAATGAATTATCTGAGCACTTTTTCTTATTTACCATGCTATCCACTTCTGTTTTAGCTTATAGCACACTTCTACCTTTTAGCGACTTCTGTTATTATCATCACTCATTTTTAAAAATACATTTTAGTGCAATAATGCTTTCATTGAAAAGCTGGAAAGAGTTTTAATATAATTTCTAAAGTACTTAATTCCTTGGGAGAACCAAACTTTTCATTCTCACAAATTTAAGAAATACTTTATCTTTACGATGCAAAGGCAACATTCAGAAAGAAAATACCAAACCTAATACTTGAGCCTTTCTTACAAATTTAAAGTATATTTATTTTAATCATAGAGAATCAATTTTTTCAAATTCTATCCTCACCTGCAATTGGTTCATTTGAATAGATTTCTGGAAATGAGTTGGAAAGACATTGTGAGTTCATAATGATAATTCCAATATGAGTTTACTATTACAGGGATTTTATGTACCTTCATTGATCTGACATCTGTATCCGTTTCCTGTTGAAAAAACAAATAAACAGACCTAGTCCTCAGTAACACCATATTACTCATTTGCTTTAACCCTCAACATACGCACAAGGATTCAGATTTACAATACGAATACTACCAACAGCAATATCATTACTAAAAACAGTTTAGTAATTTTTGCAGATTTTTTTAAATCCTTAAAACTACCTCTTTGGGATATACACTAAGTTACTATGTTTTAAGTCACTTTAAGTAGTTACTCTTGGAAGCTGTGCCTCAATACACAGGTTTCATTTTTCTTTTAATTTTTGGATATTACTTTTTTAAATAATTTTCTTTCTAACCATTTAACTATTCACAGAGTTCCAAAGTAAATCTTCAAGGGAAGGCAATATTGAGACTTCTATCTTCTAACCTTATCATGTCCATCCTGTTGCTTACCACCCCTAAGGGTGACTATTGTTATTATTTTTTTATTCTTAGGCTTATCCTTACATTGTTTTTTGTACATTTTCCCTCCTTACTTTTTTTATTTAAAAATATATCCTGAAAAAACTCCATTTTTATATGGGGTATTTATAGTCATAATTCTCTGGTGGATGTAGCATAGGTTTTCAACCCATCCCTTTTTGATGGATAGTTAAATTATTTCCAATCTTTACAAATAAATCTCAGTGAGTAATCTTATAAATGTGTCTCTCTGTGTTTGTTCAGTGTGTTTTTGGGATAGATTCCAAAAAGCCCAAGTATAAATGAACATATAATTTGCCTCAAATTGTTAAATTTCCCTTCATAAAAGTTGTACTATTTTGCATTACCACCGACAGTGTACTAAAGTGCTTTTCCCTAAAGTCTAGCCAATAGAGCCTGGTGTCAAATTTTTGGATTTTTGCCAATCTGATTAGTGAAAAATGATACCTCAGTACATTCAATTTGTATTTTTCTTTTTATGAGTGAAATTTAACTTCTATGCAAAAACCTATTGTTTTAAAAATTGGAATACTTAAAAATGAGTATTTTGTTAGAGAAAATTATGATATATAAATCCAGGGAAATCTTGGAAGTCAAATGCAAGATTACCTTAGATTAGGATTGGGTTGCTAATACAATGTTATATAGGGGAATAAAGACATACTTCTGAAAATAAACTTCAGAAGTTAAATGTTTCAATTTTATTCAAATGTCACAGAAACCATGCAAAAGAAATAATTTTCACTTTGATATGCAATAAGTTACTAAAGATAAGATGTTTGTAATATAAAGTTTTATAAAGTACTAACAGTTTACAAAGTATTAAGTCTTGAAGAGAAAGAAAAGCCTATAAATGATCTTGTAATTTCAGAGTATTTTTCTATAGTAGATTTAGATCTGATAAAATACAGGATCCAAATGTATTGTACCTCGTGTCATAGACTAAAACCAAAGCCATCTTAAAGAAAAATCTCCTCTAACAAAGATGAAGATGATGAGTTCTGGCTCTTATTCTTGGACTATTTGAGTTTTTCCTATGTTCCCTAGTAGTGCTTCTAAATATATTTTAATACTTTATTTGGATTAAATAGAGTAGATCCTGAGCCTTTCTTATTAATCTGACATCAACAATTGCTATCCGCTTCAACAAGAATTATATTTTCCTTGGAAGACAAAATATTAAATAAAAGATGATGGAGAATGATTCCTGCCAATTAATTCTTAGTTATTTTCTTTCCTTTCAGCACCTTCCCTGATAGGTGTGGTAAGGAAGGACTGGGCATCCCAAAATAGCATTGCCCTATCATGGCAAGCACCTGCTTTTTCCAATGGAGCCATTCTGGACTACGAGATCAAGTACTATGAGAAAGTAGGTCTTATTTGGAGCTTCCTAAAGAAACTATATATACATATATATGTATATATGTATATATTGAGCATGTTGTTATATTATTTTACTTTAAAACCTGTTCTATGACATAACCTCATACCTACTATGTCTTTCAAAACTCTAGTTTACTACTGTGCTTATACTTTTCTTAATTTGTCTTGTTTTATGTCAGATGATAAAGTTAAAAGACATAAGATGTTCATCTCTGTCATGATTTACTATAGGGATTTTTCCAACATAGTAAGAGGTAATAACTCCTTCAACTTACAGTTTAGCTGACATAACATTGTTTCTAAAATTCACTTGGAAGACATAGTAAAATGGAATTGCTAGAACCTAAAGAAGGAGTTTGTATAGCCTATATTGTTTGCCAATGAGTTACAGTTACAATTCTCTATAATTTGGAAAGGATGATTTAAGGGATAAATGGAGTTTTACATTTAGGTCAGCTGTTTTACTTTTTTAAGAAGCCGCCCAGATAAATCTGGTTTATAAATCAACTTAATCTTAATTTTCATTTTTGTCATTTAAAATTGTTCTCAATTACTATATTTTCCCAAATTATATACTTCCTTACCTTTCTTGCATTCACATTCTTTCTTTATGTGTTTTTCCCTTTATTCCTCACTATTATGATATTGTTGCTCTAGATATTATAGGAGAGGACATAACAATTCTAATATGTCTCATTGTGCTAATACTGCTCTGGAATATTGATAAAGGGAACATTAAATTTAAAAAAATAATGTAAAAATTATATATAATTTCTAGTTGTATACTAAAGTAAGAAGGAACTTCTTGCATTTCTGTAAATTACTAGAAGCAAAGGAACATCACAAATTTTGATTTCCTTTGAAAAAATATAGGTCAAGAAGAGAAATAGAAGTCTATCTTTTCCTATTCTATTGATTCTGAGCAAATGTATGTTTGAAAAAGGGAGAGGTAACTCAGTAGCCTGCCTGTACCCATTTTTGACCGTCTAGTAATTTCAGCATTATGTAGTCAATGAAAACTGTCGTTATCATGATGAATTCACATGAGTAACTCCATAGTCTAAGAAAAGAGAAATTTACTGAGTTTTAATTGGATTACAGATTGTGCACATTGGCCACACCAGCATGTGCTCAGAAATCCTGCTGAGCTCTCCTTTCAAACGTTACAACCTCTAGCATGCTGTCACAAAGTAAACATATTTTCTGTCTACTAGATTAAGTAGATCTTTAGATATGCAAAAATTCTCATTATTTAAAAAGCAATGGGCACAAATATATCAGCAACTTTTCAGAATGAAAATATCCCTCTATGCTTTATAAAGGCTATATTTTGTACACAGAAAATAATTCTCATTTTATAGTCATTTATGTTTCAAATGTTGTAAGATGAAGATAACTTGTAATATTTCCAATTAAGGACAAATCATACAGATTCTGTAAAAAGGGAACCATAATCATCCAATCAAAATTTTGGAAATCAATAAAATTCTGAAAGATGCTGGCATAATTTTCCCATTTTAATGGTGGAATAAATAATGTGATGAGGGAGTCTATTTTTTAAGAAAATGGCAATGATGCAGTGCTAATGGAGTTACTAAACTTGTAGTAAACATGGAGGTGGAAGCCATGGATTCCTAGTTCATGTTCTGATTGTGATGCTCATTATGCCTATGGCCAAGAAAAGTCAATTAATCTTCCTATGTCTCACACTTCACTTGTACAAAATGGAAATGAAAGATATCAAGTCTTCTAGTGGGTTGTAAGGATTAATTTTATAAACAGACCCAAAGATGAAAATCAGTATTAGAAATCATATAATTTAATTTAAGAATTAGCAGGCGCCTGGGTGGCTCCGTTGGTTAAGCGTCTGACTTTAGCTCAGGTCATGATCTCACAGTTTGCAAGTTCGAGCCCTGTGTAGGGGCCTCTGCTGACAGCTCAGAGCCTGGATCCTGCTTCATATTCTCTCTCTCTCTCTCTCTCTCTCTCTCTCTCTCTCTCTCTCTGCCCCTCACCTGCTCACACCGTCTCTCTCTCCAAAAGTAAATAAAATTTTTTTAAAAATTAAAAAAAAAGAAAGAATTAGGGAAATAATTGACATATAATATAACAGAATTATTATACACTAGCATGGGAATTGTATACAAACTAAATAAAGATCATCATCTTTTCATATGTAGAGGCAACCAATCAAAGGTGTTAGAATATCAAACCTTTCAGAGAGGTTTGAAATGATTAATAGGATTAAAACCTTTCCCAACCATGCCTTCATATTGTAACTGTACATTTTACCTATTTGCTTCTATAAAGTGATTTCTCCTTCCAAGCAAATATTTTTTTAAAAACTTATAACAAGGACAACTTATAATAGAATTCCTAGTTGGAAGTGCTAATTTCCTTCTTTATTAGGAACCTAAATATTGCCAAATACAAAGAAGAGCAAAATACAAAGAAATATATGTACAAATGATGCTAATTTTGGAACACAAATATCCCCTCATATGTGTATATGTATGCATGGTTACATAAATATAGAGAAACATAGAATGGAATAGAGCGTACACCCTGCTGTTTCAAGTGTTGCGTGTTGAGTTGGAGTGCAATGGGGGACAGAAGTATATGACCGGAGGCAAGGAAGAGAGAGGGAAGTAGCAAGCTTAGGTAAATATGGATGGATGGATGGATGGATGGATGGATCCTAAATCTCATTGCCCATAAGCAAGCCCTGAGACAGGATTTTGTTAGCAAGTGATTAATTAAGAAAGTTCCCAGGAAAACCGACTGAAGAATGGGGAGGCAGGACTATAAGGGAGTTCTGGAGTAAATTACATCTCAGAGTTCATCCTATGGAGATAACAGAAGCTGAGCTCCCATGCTCTGGCTCCAGTCAGTCATTGGCTACAAGTCTTAATGAGATGTACAGAAAAAAAGTCATTGACACTTCTGGTTCTCTGTAGTGGCTTTAGTAGCCCAAGTTTAGGTCTTTAAAGAAGGTGCCACATACAAGCCTTCACAATCAAAAAAAAAAAAAAAAAAAAACAAAACAAAACCATAGGCACTTGGTTGGGGGGGATTGGGAGCGGGAACACATAAAGGTGGTCCAAAGGGATCTGATGGTACACCAACTATTAAGTAAGGTAATTCAGTGCTCAAAGAGCTGTGAATTTTAATCCTGGGCTCATTGTAATATTCATATTCTCCTCAGTCTTTTAATAGGGGTGCCTCAGTTTTTAATTTGTGGCTTGTTAAACCTTCCATTTCCTTTTAATCAAAGTCAGTCTGTATTGCTAACTCATAATTAATCCACAATCAATATTTACACTATTCTCTGAGGAATTCATGCTGTTTTATTAAGTTCTTCTTAAGAGCATTATTCTATAAATCAGGAAAGAAGTTTGGTGCTTAGAATGTGCAGTGTCCACAAATATCTGAGATCAAGCAACATACCCTTGTTACCAGTGACTTTTTCTCACAGAATGTATAACATTAGAAAAAGGCACTGGCCTGGGTGGTCAAAAATTTGAGTTTGGCTCAGATCTTAATTTTCTTAGTCTGGTTTTCTCATCTATAAAATAAGGGTAGAAAAATAATTTCATAGTTCTAGCTGTTTCCAGATGCTACTATGTTTTTATCCATATAGCTTATAGATACATTATCCCATAACTCAAATAACTGTAGTTTTTCATTTATGTCTACTAAAATTAAATGCACACATACACATTGTAAAAAATATCTTACCACAGGGAACAGTAGTTTTCACATTATAATTACATATAAAATCTACCATTGTCTTCTGTGTGTGATGAGAGGGGTATGAAGAAGAAAACATATTGCTTGTTGATTATAACTAATTAGATATTGTCTCATCACTTAATTATTCCTCCCCAATTCTTAGTTACTTTTTTCATACTCAAAAAAATGTTTAGTTTTTCGAACTCAAGTAAATATAGTTTGAACATGAAAAGACACTTAAAATAACGAAGAAAGTCAAATATGTTACCAAAAAGTTATATTTCATTTACTTACTAACAATGCTTTTCTCCAAAAGCAGAGCCTACTCATAATGAGGGAACTGTTAAAAATAAAAGACAGTTTAAGTTTATTTAACACTTTGTGAAGTGGGCAGTCTCCTCAGAGAACCATGAAATGGGGTAGAAGGTGGGAAACTTTTATAGGATAAAGAACAAAGAGGAGAAAAATAGGAAATATCTGGCTGAGGCCACATATTTAACCTTGTTTGGGGTGAAAAGGAAGAAGGAAAGAAGTACAGAGTTGACTTGGTGCTTGGGGCAGGCCGACTGGATATATGCATTTTTGGTCAGAGAATTTACAGGGGTACAAAAGTTGTATTTGGTTTGCTGATGTGGTACCTCAGGTGAGGGCAGCTCTGTCTTCAGCCTAGAAAGTCGTTTCAGCAAAACTAAGGCATTATCACTCCCAATCTCCCAGTCCCCACCTCTCAAATTTGCAAACCTACTTGGCAGCTACAAAATACCAAAAATTCAATTGAACATCACACATGCCCCTTCCTTATCTCTTCCCTTCTCTCTTTACCCTTTGTGTTCACATTCTTGATTTTTCCTCTCCTTTTTGTTCTCTGCCCAAGGCACTTTTCTTTCTCCTGCTTCTTTGTTCTTTTATTATATCTATCAAAGTTAGTCTTGATTAGAGTCATTCATGTGTGTATCTGACTCTCTCACTAGTTTATGAGCCCCTGAAGAAAGCAGATCATTTCTTGTCTTTGTCACCCAACGCTCAATCAGTGTCTGATGCTGAAACAACGGTCTACTTTCAGTCATATTCTAAAGAAATTAGTAAAAATCCTCTTTGTTCAGCACTCATTCCCAGAAAACTGACAAAAGTCACTCAGCCACTGTGAAATTAACCCAGCAATTTGAAAAACAGAGAAAGAAAGCCTCCAGAACTCCCTATTTCTACCTGTTCATAACGAAAACCCATACACAAATGTCTATCAACTAAGGGACG